TTTAAACCATAAAACAAACTTAATGACAATAACTGCTGCATGTCCGGCCCCTGAGCTCTTGGCTTTCACTAACTGTGCTCCCTGAGAAATCTAGATGAACTGCCCTGCCTTAGTGGCTCCAGCTGGTTGTTGGTACAATTCTCATTTAAACTCAGAAACTCTCCTCACAGAGGCCAGTCTCTGATCTGCAGGACTGGTACCTGCTCAAGTGTCAGAACACCTGATGTTTAACCTGTGTTTGGACGGGATGTATCCCAGCTCCTCCAGCTCCCCCTGCTGGTTCAGCCGTCTGGCCTGCCACCATTCGTCGTCAGCGCTGTCAATCACATGAAGGACCTCCCCAAAGTTGAAGTCCAGAGCCTGAGACAGGACTCCGCAGTCCCACTGCTTATCGTAGTCAAACAGGGCTCTGAAAACCAGAACAGGATCTGGGGTCAGTTCATCTGGACCTGTCAGAGGTGTGTTCAGGCGTCGTGGGAAACCCCAGGTGTGTAGGCTCAGGTTACCTCACGTAGAAGGTACGGTTGGTTCGCAGACTGCCGGATGAGCTGTTCATCATCTGCTCCCTCAGGTCGTGGATCTTTGCTTCAAACCGGCTGTACTCTGAGCAGGAAACAGGAAACAGGAAGCAGGAAACAGGAAGGAGGAAACAGGAAGCGAGACAGATTAATTTAATTTCAATATGAATCTGGTTTTTATCAGTTTTCCTGCAGAAACTGCCTGCTGGTGATCTTAGAGACTCCAGAGTCTCTGGATCCAGATGTTCCTCATCTGGAGTCTGAATGTCTCCTGAGCACACACAGTGCGTGTGTGCGTGCGTGCGTGCGTGCGTGCGTGTGTGTGTGTGTGTGTGTGTGTGTGCGTCCTCACCCTCCGGTCTGTACTGAGCCACGATGGTGACGTTCTGACCGGCGTTCTTCAGAGCTGCTGCAGCCTGCTCATGTGTCGCGTACCTGAGGTCCACACCGTTCACCTGAACACACACACACACACACACACACAGAGTGTTTTTAACGACGCAGTAACTAATGACAGTTAAACACGTTGGAAGTCAGTAAACATGATGTCTACAGCTGCATCTGAAAATATTAGATCATCATCATCTCATCACATTAATTGATCTCAGAGAGGAACATTTCAGACTTTGGTTCTTCTAGTTTTGATGATTTTAACTGACAATGAAAAACCAAAACAAAGTGAGAATCTTCCAGAACCAGTTGGTAGCTTAGCCATGTGGGCCGGAGCCGAGTCCTGCAGGACAATGAAACCAGCATCTCCATAAAGCTCATCAGCAGATGGAAGCATGAAGCGCTCTAAAATGTCCTGCCAGATTCTGTGTGGACTGTGGACTTCAGAGAACCCAGTGGACCAGCACCAGCAGAGGACATGGACCCAAACCATCCCTGACTGTGGAAACTTCTCTCTGGACTTGAACAACTTGGATTCTGGACCTCTCCACTCGTCCTCTAGTCTCTGAGACCTGATTTATAAATCTTTCATGTGGGTTCTGAGTGTTGGAACCCAGAACCAGAGAAGAGTTCAATGGACTCATCAGAGGATTAGAACCTGATCTTAATCCTGGACATGGACCTGGATCTGGATCTAGATCTGTACCCGAACCTGGATCTGGACCTAGACCTGAAGCTGGACCTGGATCTGGACCTGGACCTGGACCTGGATCTGGAGGTTTTGTCCGTCTTCACAAAGTTCCACCAAACGGTTTTTAGGACTGAGAACTGAAGGAGAACCTGAAAAACCTGATCTCTGTGGACCAGAACCTTCTGCTACTGGTCCATCTGCTGAGATGACAACACTGTTGGAACTAAATCTGTGGTTCTGTGGAGGGGTACAAACCGGTTCCTGTCAGGTTCTAAACCTGGACTTTGGTTCTTAGAACTCACACTGAGGATCTGGTCTCCTTTGCGGAGCTCCCCACTCAGGTCTGCTGGACCTCCTGCGAGGATGAAGGAGATGAAGATCCCCTCTCCGTCCTCTCCTCCGACGATGTTGAAGCCCAGACCCGTGGACCCCCTCTGGATGCAGACTCTGCGGGGTTCCCGGGAGTACTCGTCGTCTCCCATCATGCAGCGGGGGATGGGGGAGTAGCGGCGAGGTGACGGAGGAGGGAGGGCTTGTGGGTAATCACACATGTAGTCCGGCTCCATGTAGGCTGCAGGGACAACACACAAAGACTGAGGGACGGAGTTCTGAAGGTTTGGTTCTGACAGAACCAGTTTCAGGTCTACGTACAGCTGGTCAGGTCTGGAGGGCTGTATCGATCTACTTGGTGGATGTAGTGCGAAGTGGGCGTGGCCACCTTTAGGTAGACCACTTCTCCGGTGTTCTTCAGGGCCAGCACAGCGTCTTCATGCAGGATGTCCTCCAGGGACATGTGGTTCACCTGTAGGGACCAGACTGGCAGTTAAACCAAAACCTAGAGGCAGTGGTTCACCTGTAGGGACCGGATCCACAGTTAAACCAGAACCCTGTCTGTAAACATATAGAACACATTCAGAGTCCACCTACCGCCAGGATCTTGTCCCCAATCTGCAGCCGTCCATCACGATGGGCCGCTCCACCTTCGATGATCTTGGTGACGTAGATGCTGTTGTCTCCAGGAACGTGTTGGTTCCCCACACCACCAGCTATGCTGAAGCCCAAACCTGGACCAGAAGGAGGACAGGGCGACTATAGAGCAGTGTTTTTTCAAAGTGGGGGCCGCGGCCCGCTGAGGACCCGCCAGGGGGGCCCAGAAAGCTGGAGAGAAGACGATTAAAAAATAAAATAATAATAATAATAATAATTATTATTATTATTATTATTATTATCCACTAGGTCAATCTGTATCTGTCATTTCCAGATGAACACACTTCAGATTTCTTTAGTTTTGTTCTTCTGGCCAACAGTTTGTTGAAAAGTTGTTTTTTTCAGTGGGAATATAATTAAAAATATCATTCAGAGTTTAAAACATGTGGTTAATAATGTTGGGAACCCCTGCAAAAGATAGACTGGTCTTTCTGCAGTGTGACAGTTTTACTTTTCCAGACCTAAAACTGGTCTGGTCTTCATCAGGTTCTGATCCAGGTCTGACCTCAGGTGAACAAAACCACACATCAGGTTCCACCGACTTATTATTCATTGAACAGAACTTAAGAACTGGGTCCAGTCTGGATCTCAGAAGTCCAGAATCATAAACTGCTGTTTAACTTGAAACTAGGATCCTCCACAGAGAACATACAGGTTCTACAACATGAACCTTTGTAACTGGGTTCCTCAGAGAACTCCAGGATCTACAGCGTGCACAGATCTTTCTGCGTGAACATTACTCAGCTGTCCAGCAGAGGCCGACGGAGCAGCAGAACCACACCTGTCAGGTGACACCTGAACCTCCATCCGTACCTTTGGGTCCTTTCAGCAGTTTGATCTGGGTGATTCGTTCACTGGGGGGGCGTCTCCTCAGGACGTACAGCCGGACCACAGGCCCCGCCTCCTTCAGGGCCTCCACAGCGAAGGAGTGCGTCACCTCCCGGACGTCCACATCGTTAACGAACACGATGCTGTCATTCACCCTGAAGAAGAACCGGTTCTGAGTTTTAGACTCTGTCTCTGAACCCAAACCGTGGCGTTCAGGACCAGGTTCAGGACCAGGTCCAGGACCAGGTTCCTACCGGAGGCGTCCGTCCTGAGCAGCGGCTCCTCCTGGGATAATCTTAGTGATGAAGATGGACGGGTCGTCTCCGATGTGAGGGTTATCAGTTCCTCCTGCGATGCTGAAGCCCAGGCCAGAGTTCCCCTGACACACACACACACACACACACACACACACACACAGTGCATGAAACAAAGAGTCAGCTGTGTCTGTTTGATGTTCTGTCTACAGTGAGAACTCTACTGATTCATCTAACGTTGTGGCTCAGACTCAAACTGAATCTTTTAGATCTGAGGACTAAAATAATCAGAGAGGCTCCGCCCACTTGCTCCTCAGGTTAGCTAGTTTCTAAAATAAGCCGACAGAAAGTTATTAATAACATTTATGATGTCACATGGGCAGTGTTTAGGGAGCGGGAGGGGCTGTGGTCCTGTGAGTTGTTGTGTTACTGTGTTCCTGTGTGTGTTATTGTGTTAATATGTGTGTTTCTGTGTGTGTTATTGTGATAACATGTGTGTTTCTGTGTGTGTTATGGTTAACACGTGTGTTTGTGTGTGTGTGTTCTCACCCTCTCCAGAGTGATCTCCTCGTACTCCAGCTCCCCCTCAGATCCGTTCATCTGTAACAAACACAAACACGAGGGGTTAAATCACATCCTGCGTGTTGCCATGATGACTGTACAGTAACAGCTGTTGCTCCCTAAGGGGGCCGGTTACCATGGTGACTGCAGCTGTAACCATGGTAACCTCCTCCCTGTGTCCAACTGCCAGCAGCTCTAGAAGATGTGGTTATTACATCACTTCCTGTCACCTTTGATTCAAACAGGAGAAGAAGAGTGTAACTCGGTTGGTTCAGTTTCTGACAGTTTTTTGGATTTTGATTTTAAAGGTTTTAAATATAAACAGAACCAGTTTTTAAAAACAAATCCTGAAGTTCTTCTAGATCAACCAGAACCACCCTACACTGAGACAGAAACCAGTCCAGGTCTGTCATTCTAAACAGATGCTGATTATAATCCTTTTTTTCTGACTTCTTTTACAGACATTTGTCACCACACCTGGTACTGATTACCAGATGTTTCAACCACACCTGGTACTGATTACCAGATGTTTCAACCACACCTGGAACTGATTACCAGATGTTTCAACCACACCTGGTACTGATTACCAGATGTTTTCATCTCACCTGCAACTGATTAACAGACTTTTGTTACAACATCTGGTACTGATTTAGAGACGTTTTTCTCCATACCTGGTTCTGATGACCAGATGTTTCAACCACACCTGGTACAGATTAATAGACCATTTACACCTCACCTGGTATTTAGTGACAGATGTTTTGGACCATACCTGGTCCTGTCAGATCAACCTGAAGCTCAGCTCCTTAGTAAATTATACCATTTATTTAAATAATATAATATTAATTATATTAATATGTACCTGCCCCTGACCTTAGATCAGGTCCCAGCAGCATTTTAAAAAGTTGTGTTTGTCCCACAGATGGAGATGGTTGTTCATGGTTTTATATAAAATCTGACAGATTACATTAAATTTAATTTTTCCTGCCTCAGTAAATCTTTCATGGATCACAACTGCTGAGCTTCTCCTCCAGACATGTTACACGGCTGCTAATCTCTCTGCACTGAATGCAGAACTCAGGTCAAAGTTTTGGGCTCGGAGGTTAGACCCTCAGTCCGAGTCCTTCTGGATAATCTGCAGCAGCTCATTGTTTGTTTAGAGCCTGGAAGGACTGAGATTAAACTCATCAGTTCTTTAGTACAGTCTGAGTCCTTCAAATCACCTTCAGCTCACTGGTACAGTTAGAGTCCAGTCTCCAGTCTGAGTCCTGCAGACTGAGTTAGCCCCTCAATCAGAGTCCTGCAGACTGAGTGGGACCCTTCAGGCTGAGTTAGTACCTCAGTCGGACTCCCTCAGGCTGAGCAGCTGTCAGTTCTCCTCTTGCTGCTTCTCTCTGGAGAATCTGCAGCAGCTTCAGATTTCATTGTTGCGATTGTAGCTCAATAAGGCTGAAGTTGGACCCACCAGGTCTTTGTATAGTCCGAGTCCTACAGATTGAGGTTAAACCCTTCAGTTCCTTAGAGCCCTACCTTAGTCCAGGTCTTTCAGGCTGAGCTGCCGTCAGTTCTTCTCTTTCTGAGAATCGGCAGCAGCTTTGTTATGTAACACCACAGAGAGGAGTGAACACTTCACTGTGAATTAATTAAACCTCTTCCTCCTTTCCCCTGACAGCGCCGTGTTTCTGCCACTCTGGGTGGATCATGGAAGGTCAGAACCTTCCAGATCTCTTCTACTCCATCAGCGAAGGCTCGGCCCACAAAAGGACCAAAGCGTGGAGATTTCTGTTCTCCAGGAGCTGACAGCATGGCTCTTCATCAGCAGATACAGCTGCACCTCTGCAGCCAGAAACACACATCTGTAGATGTGTTACTAGACCAACCTTAGCCCAGTGCTGGTGCGATTAAACCAAATAGAAAACACTGTTGATGTCATTAGACCATACAGAACTCATGCTGTTAGACCGGACACAACTCACAAATAACAGAAAATAAATCAACACACCAAACAACAAAAATAACCAATAACAAACCCTGACAGTAGACATCCCAAAAACAAAGTTCAAAAAGTCCCATCCAAGCAGGAGACAAAGGTCAGGCATCTATCCCAGAACTCACCTGGACAAGAAACAACGGTTGAGTGGACAGACAGAAAATTGTACATACCAGTGACAGAGTTCAGGCAATGAGCCTGAAAACCTTTATGAGCAGTGACAGAACTGAGATAGTTGGTCCAGAAACTGTGCTGATGTTATGGGCCAAATGAAAATAGCCATTTGTTAAGATGATTTTAAACTAAAGCAGTTAAATATGTGAAAACAATGATACTACATATATACATAGGGACAACTGTAAGATTATTGTGAAAAGATTTAGCGATTATGTCTGGCTCTTCTGTCCCCTTTCAGGGGGCGTAACACTGACCAGTGGAAAAAACTCAGATGGTCAACCAAGAAACTGTCCTGATTGGTGACAAAGTTCAGGTTCCTGGTTTGGAAACAATACAGACAAGTAAAAAACATGTGAGTGGCCCAGGAACCATCCATAGTTCTGTGAGATGAGTGTGATGTTCAACTCTCATAAAGAGGAGAGAGGCATTGAAAGCAAACAATAGAAAGACTTTGACTGCAGCCTTCTTGAAGGTAAGAAGCTCAGAGGCTGTAGAGAGCTGGGGACACATGAGACTCTGAAGCCCAGGATGCTAGACCTCAATACTGCATTTGATACAGTTGGAAATAGCATGGGATACATTTTCATTGTTATGCTGATGATACAGTTGTATTTGCCCATGAAACCCAATGAATCCAATCAAATACTTGGACTACAAGCATGTCTTAAAGACATCAAAACCTGGATGCCAATAAATATTCTGCTTTTGAACACAGACATGACTAAGGTTTTAGTTTTTGGATCTGAGCATCTTAGGAATAAATTTTACAGTCTTTCACTTTCTCTGGATGGCATTAATTTGACTTTGCTGTTGTTGTTAAACCTGATAGAACCCACTGCTGATGATGCTAAACCAGATAGAACCCACCGCTGATGATGTTAAACCAGATAGAGCCCACCACTGGTGATGTTAAACCAGAAAGAACCCACCGTTGATGTGGTTAAACCTGATAGAACCCACTGCTGGTCTTGTTAGACCAGAAAGAACCCACCATTGATGTTGTTAAACCTGATAGAACCCACCACTGGTGATGTTAAACCAGATAAAACCCACCACTGGTGATGTTAAATCAGATAAAACCCACCACTGGTGATGTTAAATCAGATAAAACCCACCACTGGTGATGTTAAACCAGATAGAACCCACCACTGGTGATGTTAAACCAGATAGAACCCACCACTGTTGATGTTAAACCAGATAGAACCCACCGTTGGTGTTGTTAAACCTGATTGAACCCACCGTTGGTGTTGTTAAACCTGATAGAACCCACCGCTGGTGTTGTTAGACCTGATAGAACCCACCGCTGGTCTTGTTAATCCAAATAGAACCCACCACCACTGGTGATGTTAAACCCGATAGAACCCACCGTTGGTGTTGTTAAACCTGATAGAAACCACCGCTGGTCTTGTTAGACCTGATAGAACCCACCACTGGTCTTGTTAGATCTGAGAGAACTTACTGCTGGTGTTGTTAGACCTGATAGAACCCACCATTGGTGTTGTTAAACCAGATAGAACCCACTGCTGGTGTTGCTAAACCTGATAGAACCCACTGCTGGTGTTGTTAAACCAGATAGAACCCACTGCT